TGAGAATTTGCACTTTTAATGGGATTGTTTTACTGATCTTTATTTTTTTTTTTAAGAAAGAAATGTGCTTTAAGATGCTGCCCAGTGACCCTTGATGGACACTTTGGGCCGCTAATTATGATTTTTTTTTTCATATTTTGTGTGTATTTGTGTCCCCCCCCCCTTCAGATGCCTCCTCAATGAGACCAACAGATTTTTTTGACAGTGCAGCTTTAGAATGACACAATAGCAATTTTTTGCACCTTAGTTACTGTCATTATAATTAAAAATATCTTAAGATGGTTTGGAAACCAAAGTATTCAAATGACCAATCACTGAATAAAGTCCAATCTTACAGGATGTTGAATAGATGCATTCAAACGATGTGAAACAAACACTAGATAGACACATTTAGCCACATGCTGCACTAAGATTTTTATTTTTTATTTTTTTATCTGCTTGTTGACTGAGCCATGACAATACCCAATTTTTCTCCAGTAGTAAAATCAAAGGAGCTCTTCTTTGGTTATTGACTAAATATATACCTATCAAACTAAAGTGCAAACTAACCTAACTATCTGAAGTCTGTGGTCATACTTAACAAAAAGTGTCTTAAATAACTGAGATCACCGCTCCAAAACAACTGCAGTTAGAGCAGTTAATGAACAGGTGTGTTTAGTGCAATGGTTGATGTGTCAGGCTGTGCTATTATGTCAAGTGCCCTCCGTTTAGAGTAATTTGAAGCTAAAGGAAGGTGTAATGTTTGAGGAATGTTTGCTGGAGTTTGAGCTCTGTAAGAAAAGTGAGTTTGCACTGACAACATGGGTTAAAACACTCTGTGAAACAGTACACTGAACTACTGTCAATGTTAAGCAGTGAGTTATTGAATATAAAAGCAAAATTAAACCTGAATTGAGTGAATTTGTTGAATGTATTTTTTAGTTTTCTTTTAGTCCAAGTTATAGCTTAATTCTGTTGAGAAATACATATATGTTACTAGATGGAAATGTTTATTACATTGGTTCTTATAACATACTGCTTATTTATATTGCTATACAAGATTAAATCGAAATAATTCTTATATACTGTAGCATCAAAACTAAGCACATTAGTTGTGGGGAACATTTGCAAATACTGTGCCCTCCACTAATGTTGGCACCCTTGGTAAATATGAGCAAAGGCAGCTGTGAAAAAAAATCTGCATTGTTTATCCTTTTGATCTTTCATTCAAAAAATTCATTCTAACCTATCACTGAAGTAAAACAATTGAAAGTGGGGAGAAAATCTCACTGTGAAATAAATGCTTTCTCTAGTTCATGTTGGCCACAATTATTTGCACTCAATTATTGTAACGTCCTTTCCCCAAGATAACAGCATCTATGTTTTTTGCTATAATGCCTGAAGAGTTTGGAGAACACCTGATAAGAGATCAGAGACCATTCCTTTATACAGAATCTTTACAGATCCTTCAGATTCATAGCTCCATGTTGGTGGTGCTTCTCTTCAGTTCACCTCACTCATTTTCTGTAGGGTTCAGGTCAGAAGGTTCATGGCAGAAGCTTAGTTTTGTGCTCAGTGACACATTTTTGTGTTAATTTTGATGTTTGTTTTGGATTACTGTCTTGAAGATCCAACCACGACCCATTATAAGATTTCTAACAGAGGCAGTCAGGTTTAGATTTTTTATATGTTGATATTTGATAGAATCCATGATGCCATGCATCTGAACAAGATGTCCAGGCAGAAAAACATGCCCACAACATTAAAGATCCAGCAGTATATTTAACCGTAGGCACGGGGTACTTTTTATCCTTCACTCTAAAAAATCCTGGGTTATTTTTTTTTACCCAAATGCTGCCATTTTTTTGGGTTATTTTTTCTGTGTTTGGGTAGTTTTTGTGTTACCCAGCTCCTGGGTCAAATGTAACAACCCAATGTTTGGGTAGTTTTTTTAGTGTTACCCAGCTCCTGGGTCAGACATAACAACCCAATGTTTGGGTAGTTTTTTTAGTGTTACCCAGCTCCTGGGTCAGACATAACAACCCAATGTTTGGGTAGTTTTTTTAGTGTTACCCAGCTCCTGGGTCAGACATAACAACCCAATGTTTGGGTAGTTTTTTTAGTGTTACCCAGCTCCTGGGTCAGACATAACAACCCAATGTTTGGGTAGTTTTAATACAGATCCTGGGTCAGACGTAACCCAGCGGTTGTTATTTATAGCGAGGATTTTGCCTTCTCTTCTGGAGAGAACAGTTCTAAGCGCCATCGAATTGATGCATTTCTTCGGTAAAATACAGGTTTGTGTACATTTTTCTTATCTATAAAATTGTTACTGTGCTGTTTATCATTCAATTTTATGCAAAGCATCATACAGGCGAGTGGTATGAATCACCTAAACGAGTGTCGCGTCGGTCTTTTCGCGTGATGGAAAAGCCTGATGCTTTGCGTAAAATAAACGATTTTATTCATAAAGATACAGAACTTTGGATGTTAAAATATGTCCTCAGAGCTGTTTACTGTTTGTTTATGGCCAGGTTATGGAGTCACAGCATGTTTCGGCTAGAGTGAAACGCAGGTCGGCTGTCCAGCCTTTAGCAGCTCCCCTCCGAACACGACTCCAGCTCGGGCACGAGAACAAGCGCCGTTACAGTAGAAACAGAATAACAGACTGGTCGATTACACGTGAATTACTTCTGTTTAATGTTTCATTTTTACATCTAATGTTTGTTAAACAAGTTTAAATAGGTAACATGTATAGCCTACATATTAAAAACGATATAAACAATGCTGTAAATGATATAAATAAAGGAAAATAAAGGAAGTTATCATGCAAATCAGTAGTTGTGTGGAGTAGTTTGTTTTGGACAGGTTATGAAGGCAGTGGCAGTATAGTTCGACTATGAGTAAAACGCAGGGCGGCGGTCTCAGCCATGAGCATACAGGTGCATCTCAATAAATTAGAATGTCGTGGAAAAGTTCATTTCAGTAATTCAACTCACACCGACCATGACTCCAGCTTGGGCATGAGAGCCAGCTCAGATACGGTGGAAACAGAATAACAGACTGGTCGTTTACACGTGAATTACTTCTGTTTAATGTTTAATATTTACTTTTAATGTTTGTTAAAATAGGCAATATGTATACATACAAACGATAAACAATGCTGTAAATGATAAATAAAGGAAAATAAAGGAAGTTATCATGCAAACCAGTGGTTGTGTGGAGTATTTTACAAAAGTTTAGTGGATTTGAGTTAATCTGTAAACATTATTTCATGTATAAAGTAAAAAAATAAGCTATATTATAATAAAAATGAATCAACCCATTAGCTGGGTTAAATCAACACATTATGATGGGTTAAATAAACAACCCAATTTGTTGGGTAAAATTAACCCCATATGTGTTCAGTCCTATATTTACCCAACCCAGTGTTTTTTAGAGTGTTGTTTGTACTAAATCCATCTGCTGGGTTTGCTGCCAAAAAACTTTTTTTTATGTTTCATCTGACCATAGAAGCCAGTGCCATTTGAATTTATTTTTATTTTTTTACAAAAAGGTTGCCACAAAGAAAGTCTACTGCATGTCTATTTTATCAGGTCTGATTTTTGCAATGTAAGGGAAAGTTTGTGCTGCCATTTTGTCCAATTCAACTCAAATGTCTTTCTCTCCTGCTTCTCATTTTCTTCTTTTTGCTGTAGAGCTATGATCTGTTTAGGTAGAAGTCTCATGAGCTACATAATAACATTTACTGGTAAAGTAAACAACATCTTGGCAGTTCTCATGCATGTGCATGCCCTATATGTTATCTGAAAACAAACCAACAAATTAGACTGAAAGGCTGCAAGTTTCTTACATAATATCTAGTACACTCATTGTGTGATTTTTCTTTGTTTTCTTCACCTGGTAACTACATAAGAATGATATATATGCAATTGTAATGTAGCATTTTTACCTTTAACCTGTAAACCTCATCTGACAACAGAGAAAATGTGAAACACAGTTCAGATGAAGGTGTGTTTCACAGGTGTGAAGCAGCTCTCAATGGTCTCGAAGTCCATTTTAGCAAGATTTTCTCAACAAGCAGGCAATGCACTCGAGAAATCAATCTGATCTACATAATTGTATATCTACATATTTTTATTTTCTTTGTCCTAATCTAGAATAATGGGGTTGAATGATACTATAGCATATTTCATGGAGGAACAAATAGTAACAAATAGCAAGTTTCTCATAATGCAACAGAAATATGAGAAATGCATGTAGCGGCTGGATCTGCCCATCCAAAACCAGAAAGTGATGATTCAAGAATCAACGAGGTAAAATTCAACAAGTCTCACAAAAAAAAGTAGCACGTTTCACAAGTCAGGAAACTTGACTCACAGCGGTTTCCACAAGATCACAATGTTCATCATGGTGGGATTGTGTTTATACATGCAGGCAGCTCCATCATCTTGAACGTGATTGTGGTGGGAATGATGACATGTTCTTTGATGTATGATGTTGCGGTAATACGGATGTCTGATTGCCTGATATTGATAAAACCACGATGAAATCCCGGACTACATCTGTATTTACTGCATAGCCTACTCAGACACTTAAAAACAGGTAATTGTAATTGAACATTAGACCTGTGTGTAAGACACTTATATACATATATTAATATAATAGATACATTATATATACATTAGATTGAATCTATTTTATGTATAGCCTATAACGAATTTTACTGCTGATATGTTTTAATTGTTTAATTAAAAATATTTCCAATAATTGATTTGAATTTAATTTAATTTTTATTTAATTCATAAAACGATGTCCTGGATGACTAAGCATCTCCATAGCAATAAGTCCTCTAAGTCACTAATGACACATAAATCATTCACGCCGTTTAATCAGTGTTACGTAATCACGTCTATGGGAAGTGAGTGTCTGTTCGTTCTGAGACCGCGGGATGGCGCCACTGAGCGATAAAGACCTGACAGCGTTCGGAAACTCCCTTTTAATTCTCACCTGGAGCCTCTTGAGGATTGAGCAGAGAGGAGTTTCTCAAGCCAGATGAGAGCACAGTCTGCAAGGACTGTTCAAGACTGGTCGCTCTCTAAGGAACAAGAGTTTCCTAAGAAAACCGGAATACCGTGGAAATGCCTCACCTGAACTTTCCAGACCACATTCACATGGGCCGTCCGATGTAAAGGATTTTACTGCGCCAAACAAGGAAACTGAGGGATCCAGAAGTTACAGGTAACAGCCCTACCCTGTCTGCCAACATGACACTAAAACTTGTGTAATTAGTTTAATGCAGAGTCAGAACTAAAGTTAGAAGTGTCTAAACGCTTTCTGTACTCTTAGTTAGCTCCAGTGTTTGTACTTTGGGTTTAATCATTAAAATGTGTGCTCCCTGATATTTTGGTCTCAAATAGGTTTTACTTTCAGTAAAAAATAAAGTGTGTGTGTGTGTGTGTGTGTGTGTGTGTGTGTGTGTAATTAGTGTACCAAATTATTGTGTGGTGCAACCTGTTTGCAAGAAGCCATTTTGTTGCCATGTGACAACTATAAACAGGAAATTATCTCACAGAAAGGACCACTGTAGACCCTCATGACTGCCTGTCAGTAAGGTCTGGTGTTTATTTTATCTATATATATA